AGTTGTAAAGCATTATTCCGTTCGAACCATAACATAATTAAATTCAATGAAAAATGCTTGGGAGCACTAATTAGTGCTCCCACTAATTATGTGGCAGTGGGTCCCGCCATTAATGATGTGATGTTTTGGTCTTGGAGTTGTATTTTATTTTATTTTTTTTTTTACTTTTTTAATGCATTAGTGCTATTAGTGGTGATGTTTTTAGTGGGATGAATCATTGTTGAAATTCAATTGGAAACCTTAATTACGTGACTAGTGGTGGACTCGTTGCCCTAGGTTTTCCCCCAATTCAGTAAATCCAATTTCAGTTATAATTGATAATTTATTTATTTAGTTTAATTTATTCATTATTAAATTAGGTTGTGATCAATCATTCTTTTCATCAAAATTAATTTAGAAATTTATCAATTAAATTAATTTAATTTCACAATTGTCTCTGTAGATTGATATCTGGACTTGCTATTATTCTAACAGAATTCGGTCTAATTTAGTGTTTAATTTTGATGTGTTCAACGACCCATCAATTATCTGATGAATGAACAAATAAAAATAACAAATATGAAATCCACACAGCGCTTTGACTTGCATATCTCTGTGAAATCCACATAGTGCTTTGGTGAATGAATAGATAAAAATAATAAATATGTTTGTGTTGGATTTAATAACAAATATGTTTGTTGATGATGATGATGATGATGATGATGATGAAACACAAATTTGAATGGGTAAAAAAATTATATAAATAAAATATTTGAATAGATACATTCAAACAGATAAGTTAAAATTTAAGCAAATAAAAAATTTGAAATTTGAACAGTTAATAAAAAATTTGAACAGATAAAAATTTGAACAAGTAAAAAAAATTAAACAAATAGAAATTTGAATAAATCAAAATAATTTCAACAGATAGTCAACTAAAAGTCAAACAAATAAAAAAAAGTCAAGAAGTAAAATTAGAAACAAAAATTCTTCTGGACTTTTTATCAAATTATTTTACAAAACAAGGATCTCTCATCACCAAAAATTATCTTTTAGACCTAATACTTTATGTTCTTTTTATATTAGATTTATCACTAATTAATTTATTTATTTAACATATTTTGTAAAAGATAAAATATAATAAGATGAAAAAAGAGATTATTATAGTAATGTTGATCTTTTACATTCTGTCCACCAGATTTAGCCTACATTCTCTCCCACTACTTTATATAGTTGCTGCCATTGTTTTGGCTCAGGTAACTGGAGGTGTTGTTGGACCCAGTGCAATTAAGTATGTGGTTTGTTTTAAAGATTTGAATGGTTTATTTTATTAGAATTTTTTGTATAAATTATTTATAAAAAAAAAATTAGATTAATTTGATAATTAACTATATAATTTTGTTATATTTGTTTAAAAAAAAATAAACAATTTATTTTTAAAATTATAATTATCATTTATTTTTAAAAAACAAATATAAGAAAATTATATAATTATAATTATCGAATCAATCTAATTTTTTGTATATGTGATCTCCATATAAAACCTGACAAACTAAATGATTCAAATTGTCAAAATAGACTATGGAGGTAGGCTCCACACCCATGTAAGTATTGTATTTCCACAAACATGTGAGTATTGTATAGAATATTTAACAATTATTTAAGTTCCTAACATTTTTGTATACATATGGGCTCATTTGGGAACTTGACTATTTTAGTTGGCTTTTTAATTTTTTTTTTTTTTTACTATTTTAGCTTGATTAAAAAAGTTATGTTTTGGATGATAGTTGTTGTTGTTGTTATTTTTTTATTTTTTATTTTTTATCTTTTTGTAGTTGATTTGATAGTTATGAAAGAAAAAATAAATAACTATAGTTTAGATGTGACATTTAGGATAGATTAAAAGCCAACTTATTGATTTTTTTGAATTATATCACCTCTATACTTTTTTGTACATTTTTTCAAAAAAAAAAAAAAAGGTTTGTTTTAACATACTTCCCAAATATTGACCATTTTAACCCAAAAAAAAAACCCACTTGCCCAATATATTTTCTTATTACATTTTATTTAGGATAGATTTACACTGACCTCGACTTTGTTAAAAAAAAAAAAAAAACATAATAAGTCTCACAGTTTTAATATAATTATATTAAATATTTTTAAAATTTTAATTTATATAACACTCTTGTGATTGCCCACTTTTCATCAATTATTTTTTAGCCATAGATTAAAAAAAATTATATTGTCATATTTTTTTTCATGAAAATATGCATTTTCCTCAGTTTCTCTGTGTCTTCCCATTGTTTGTATTAGTTCAATTTACTTTAATTTTATTAGAAATGAAATCAATATAATTATATCAAGACTGGATGACTTATTATATATATTTCAAATCTCAAGAAGGGTAGTGTGATCTACCCTTTTTTTTGTAGCATTTATTGAAAAAATTAGAGAAAATTACAAAACAATCCTCAAAATTTAGTCTTGTAATAAAATAATTTTTTTATTTTATTAATTTAAACCTTAATATTTTTTTATTTCTTTTTAATCTAAACCATTTACTTATTTCTGTTAAGTAAAATTGATAGAAATATATATATATATATATATATTTTAGATAGAGGGAAAAATCTATTTTAATCATTACACTCAATGTAGGTGTATGAAAAATATATAAAGTAATTTTTTTTTATTAAGTTTAATGATTAAAATATAATTTTTCTGTTAATTTTGCCTAATAAAAATCGATAAAATGATTTCGATTGAAAAAAAAAATCAAAGGATTAGAATTTAAATTGCCAAAATTAAAAAATCAGAGTTTATTTTGTTACAAAACTCAAATTTTGAAATCTTTTTTTGGGGGAAATTATAAAAAAAAAAACCCCAAGATATGAATCTTGTAACAAAATAAATCATGAGAATTAATTTTATTAACTTAAACTTCAAACTTTTGAAATGTTTTCAATTTAAGCCATTCGCTTATTTTCGTTAAGTAAAATTGATAAAAAAAAAAGAGTATTTTAACCATAAACTCAATGAAATGGTATTTTAGACATTTTATATATACCTATTGTGGAATGTGAAGTTTTCTCTACAAAAAAATAAAAATAAAAATGAGATGACGTGTCCCTTTTTTTACTTTGTCAAGAGCAACTAAAACATTAGTGATCACTCTCGACCATGATAGGTTGAGAGGACCTTCCAACGATCAAGTTAATAAACTGTTTGGCCATAATAATCTGTATTTAAAAGAGGGTTCTTGGGTTACCTTTGATATGTCTTGTATACTCCACCTGCTTGGCTTTTATAGTTACCTAACTTGAATATCGTCCGTTGGATCACTGCCCAATTTGAGAGTTCTTCATTTATCTAACCCTAGTCGAGCAAGTGGCCAGGTTGCTTTTATCCTTGATCGTTGGATCATTATCTTACAGACGACTTAGATTATGTCAGTTGTTCTAACCAACTTGCGAAGCTTTGTATTCGTCAGATCAAGTTGATTGGGCGGTCTTGTTGTCTATTAGGCCTGACATATGCCCCTGTATCTTCTGTCTTGGTGTTTTTGTTGTTCGATGAAATCCAATGTCCCTTTTTTGTTCTGTAAATCTCTTTTCTAGAAGGATATTTTTATGCTTAATTGCTCTTCTAGTTCTCAAGCACGCACCAACTTGCTACTAGTCGTTTTTGATGGGCTCTTAAAAAAGCTCATCTAGGCCTTTTTTTTTTCTTTTGGACTGATGTTTAATTGATTTGGGCTTGGAGTATTGTTTTATCCCTCCCCACTTACGTTAAGTTTAATGGCTAAAATATTTTTTTTCCCATTGATTTTACTTAACAAAAATAGGTGAATAATTTAGATTGAAAACAAAATAAAAAATTAAGATTTACATTGATAAAGTTAAAAACTCAATATTTATTTTGTTCTAAGATTAAAATTTTAGAAGAAGTGTTTGGGTGTGCAACCCCTTAATTTTTTCGTCGATTTTACTTAAGGATTACACACCATATGCAACTTGTGTCAATTCTCACAAATATACATATATTACCTCACAAAATTGTGTAATTTAAACACAAATTTATGTAAGTTAACTCATAAAAATTTGAAAGATCACAACTTGATGTAAATTCTTACAAATATGTGCAAGTCACCTCACAAATCGAGTAATTCAAGCCTGTGTTTGGTTTGAGGATAAAAAGGAAAAAGGAAAAGATATGTGAAGTTTGGTGAAATGTAAGTATATTTTATTTATATTTCACCTATCTTTTCCTTCTCTTTTTCATCTTTTCAAATCCATTCTCAAATATCTCAATCAAACACAGCGTAATACAAATTTGCGTAAGTTAATCTATGAAACATATGGTAAGTTCTCACAAAAATATATAACTTAAGTCACAAAAATGCATAAGAAAATGGCACACCCTATGGGGTGTTTTGAGAAGTTGATAAAAAGCTAGTTTTTAGCTTTTTACCAAGTTTTTTAGTTTTTTTGGAAAAATGATTTGAAAAGTTGGTAAAAAATTGACTTTTGACTTTTGACTTTTTGATTTAATATTTGCTTATGGTGTTAAATCAAATTAAAATGACCAAAATACCTTTACCCAACATAGAAAATTTACTTTTTTGCCTTAAGCTGCAATTTGTTAACATGGAGGGTGATTACGTAATTTCAACACTTACGTTTTTATCTCTCCCCAAATAATTTTTGTTATGTTTTGGCCACCTTACTTTTTTTTCCCCTAGCATAAAAAACGTTACTTTTTACAAATCTTCCCAAAACGGCACTATGCCATTCACACTCAAAATTTTTCCAAATGTAGATATATATATATATATAAATATTATGAATCAAACAAAAAAAATATATATATATATTTATAACAACTGTTTCAAAAAATTATAATGGCCTCGTGCTTAGGAATTGTGGCAGGTGTTTTGTCACCAAATTTTTTGTACAAGGGCTTTTTGTCATTTCATATATGGTCGAAGGGCTAGGGTTTCTGTCTTCGGCGGTCCGGCTCACCGAGCATGAACATGTCGGTTCTTTTTATTAATTCGAGCCAACAACAGCAGTACATCTCTCTCTCTAGAGTATACACTTTTTCTCTCTACATTTTCCATCTAAATCAACCTCCTCCGCCATATCTGTGTTGTGGGTTTTGTTTATCACCTCTCTTTCTTCAATGCAAAACATCTATTTCACTCTAAACATCTCTGAGATCTTCTCTGTTTTCCTCTTTCTCTCTCTACAATCTGGCTCTGTTCCTCTCTTTCTCTCTCTGTTCTGTATTCAAGAAATGATTAGGGTTTTCAGACCCACAAAAAGTGTATATTTTTTAGCCTTTTAAAAAACTGGCAAGCGTACTCCAGAAACAATTCTGGGCCTGTTTCAAAAACACTGTAAAGCATATCATGAATCTGAGCCAAAAGGTGAGTCAATATATGATCATGAGCTCATTACTAATATATCTGATTACATATGATGATTTATGATGTTTTTGCTTTTTTAAGGAATCAATGTCTGAAGAAGTGAATGATGAGATGAAGAAATGTTGTGCTGATTGCAAAACCACAAAAACACCACTGTGGAGGGGTGGTCCAGCTGGGCCCAAGGTAAAAATCAGCCCCCATTCATTTGATTTTTCTTGATTATCTTTGATCTCTTGTTAATGTTATTGATTTTGATCAAATGGGTTTTCAATATTTTATCTATTTGCTTGTGTAAGGCCTGTTCGGTGTAATTTTTAGCTAAAAACACATTTTTGTCTGCTTTTCAATAATAATTTTTTTCCCCAACCTATTTAAGTTAAATCTAGCTACTGGCACGGTTTGTGTTTCCAGGCTATTAGGCTGAAATATTTTAAATAAATTGAAAAAATTAATTATTTAAAAATTGTGAGAATGATGCTTTAGTTTTTGATTTTTGATTATCAATTTTTAAGCTGCACTAAATCAGGCTTTTCTAAAATAAAAAAAATGAAAGACCTAAATAGCTCGTTGCGCCAAATAAACTTAATCAAGTAATTTTTTTGGGAAATTATTCAGTGCATGTTTTCAAAATGAGTAATATCAGACTTAATTACTCAGAATTATTATCTTGTGGTTTAAATTTATTATTATACACTTATTATTATACACTGTATAAATTCAATCTTAACCACACAATCTCTTTCAGGATACATTCAGGATAGTTAAGATGGGATACATAGAATTATTCTTTCAAAATAAATTTTGAGTAATTAGTGATAAAGCTTATCAACTTTAATACTAATTGAAGTGATAAAATTTTGGAAAATTTACCCATAAGTCCTAGTTTTTGAAACGTTGAACCATTTAGTCCTAAAAGTTTTCTTATGCTCCATTTAGTCCCATTTTTACATCAACATGATGTGAATGATGTAAATGATCTGATGTTTCATTCTATAATTTCAAAATTTATTGAAATCTGATGAACATTAGATGTTTTTCATCCTATATTTTCAAACATTATTGAAATTTGATGAACATTAGATGTTTGAAATCCAATGTTTGTAACATGACTATGATGTTATTAACATTGTATCTGATGTTATTAACATTGTAATGGGACCTTTCAGTCTATAAGGAAACTTTTAGGACTAAACAGTGCATAAGTTATTAATTTGAGATTTATTAGTGCATCCCCCTAAAATTTTTCACGACTTTTGTAATTAAATTTTTTTTTTTCAACTGATTTGCAATTTTTCTTAATTTTTTTTAATAATAATTTCATATATGTGAGTTTATTATTATTGTGTGACAGTCACTGTGTAATGCTTGTGGGATAAGATACAGAAAGAAGAGGAGTGCCATGGGGGGTTTGAACAAAGCACCAGAGAAGAGAAAAGAGAGATCCTCCACCTCCTCTGCTGCCGCCACCGCCGCCGCTGCCACCGCCGCCAAGAACAAGACAAGTAGTAGTAGTGGTGATAATGGTAAAGGTGTTAATTTGAGTGAGGATTTGAGGGCAAGATTGATGGCGTTAGGGAAGGAAATGGTGATGTTGCAGAGACAGAGGTCTCCAATGAAGAAGAGACAGAGGATTAGTAGAAAGTTCGGAGAAGAAGAAAAGCAAGCTGCCTTTTTGTTGATGGCTCTGTCTTGTGGCTCTGTTTTTGCTTAGAAACATAGACCAAAAAAACAAAACAGTGTCAAAACAGAGGGAAAGTATCAGATAAATAAGAAATGGAAAAAAACTATATTCAAATTAATGGAGTACAACTCTCACTTGCACCTTCATTGGTTTGTAATTAGTTTTTTTTTTTTTTTTGATATTTTTCCTCAAACAATGTATTGATCAACCAACACACCTTTTCAACTAGTTTTGTGTTTGTTTTTGTTTTTTTATAGCAAAAATGAAGTATCCCTTTTAGGGAGAGACAAGGGAAAGGGAAAGTGATGGTTGAAGTGTGTCTTTTGTATTTTTAGGTAATATAGTTGGTGTGGAAGTGATAGTTCCTTATTTATGATGTACATAAGAATGTTTTAATGAATTTGGAATTTATTGCTTTTAACAAGTGGTGTTGTTTACTCTTTTGGGATATACATGTGTATATATATACAGTGTGTTTACTCTTCGTTTCGTGTTGACTTTTTTAATTAATTTTTTTGTGTTGAGATTTTTTTAGTCCGATTTTTTTAAGCTCATTTGATTTGATTTTTTAGTTTTTTTTAATTTTTGTGAGAGAAAAAGTATAATGATTATGATTTAAATTGACATTTTGTTTTATTGACTTATGTAGTCAATTTTGTCTTTTTGTACTTTTTTAATAAAAAATGTAAAACTAAACGAAATTTTATTTTAATTTTTTGAATTTAATTTTTTAAAAATTAAGTTTTTTATTTTTCGTGTATTTTTGTTTTTAGTGAATATTTTTAAGACTTTAATCAAATTTTTTACTTTTTTAGATATATCTTATTTGGATAATCCTTCGTAGTTCGAATCTCTCTGTCCCGAATGGCTCGACTGCCCAAAACGATGTCGTTTTGGATATATATTTTTTTTTTTGCCTCCTTATTTCTAAAACAGAGAGACCAGAGAGAAGGAGAGAAAGAGAAGAGAGGGGAAGAGGGAATAGAGAGAGAGAGAGAGGGGGGGTCGATCGCTGCCTCCGCCTTTGCCTCCGATCATCGCAGCCCCGCCTCTGATTTGTGTATGAGAATGATGTGTTGAAGTTTTTTTTTTAGATTTTTAGATTTTTTTTTTTTTTTTTTTTTTTTTTTATCTCTATGGTGGGTTTAGAAATTATACCATTGTAGGAGATGTGGTAGTTTCTAAATATACCATTTCTGCATTTCAGATGTGATGATGCTGATGATGATGTGTTTTGTTGATGATGATGATTCTCTCTCTCTGCTGTGTTGATGAAGATGTGTTGGGTGGGTTTGATTTTTGGTTGATGATGATGATTTTCTCTCTCTCTCTGCTACTCTCATCTTCTCTTCTTTTTTTTTTTCTTCTTCTGCTAGTTATTGAAAACAAAAAAAATCAAAACAACGAAATGACGTCGTTTTGAATTCGAGCCAATTTTCTCGAAAATTTCGAACTATGTAGCATAACCGATCTTATTTAGATGTATTTAAAAAGTAAAATATTTATAAAAAAAATTTAAAAAGTTAATAAATATAAAAGAATATGAAAAATGTATTGAATTCTCATAATTTTTTTATTTATATTTTTGGTATTTAATGAATTTTTAAAGATTTTTTTACAAATATTTTACTTTTTAAGTGTATTTATGATAGATGTATCTAAAAATTAAAAAAATTGCTTAGAATATTAAAAAAAATTAGTTAAAAAAAAATACGGAAAGCAAAAAATTTTAATTTTTTAGAAAGTGAATCATGAAAATTTTAACGAAAGCTGTGAAGAAGTTTTTTAATTTATTTTATGAATGGACAGAGATTTTCTCAAATTTCATTTTATTGTTTTGGCTTTTTTTTTTTTTTTTTTGGAGTAAAAATAAGAACATATATAATACTATATATAAATAAGGGATACAGTAGTCAGCCCTCATCTAAGGCCTTTCTTGCCAAAACATGGGCTACTTCAACTTGCTGTATATCTACCTTAGTCATACAAACATAATCTAGTGTAGTACAAAAATAATTAATATCATATAAAATATTCAAAAATTCCCATTCGATCCTGCAGCCGCTTTGTAATCGTTGAACTAGTTGTACGGAGTCAGTATGTATGGTAATTGCTTTGACATTGTTCAACACACTCCATTTAACCACTTCCAAGCAGGCTTTGGCTTCCAACATAAGAGCTGATGAGGCTAGAAAAATATATTTTCTCCAAACTAATTAATTTCCCTGTTGATCCAATCCAACCCAAGTTGCGCCTGCCTTTCTTAAGTCAGCCTTCCACACTCCATCAATAACAAATCTATGAAAATAAAAAGGTTGACACCAATTATCCCTGTTAATCATAACCCATGAAATATGTTCAGTAACATTTCCCATTTGGTAAGTGCTAGGAGCCTGATCCAGTCTATCACAATTCAGATTATGACCAACAGTCCATCCCAACAAATTAACAAAGAAAATCATCTAACCCGGATCATTCAATTCGTTTTGAAACGTGGCTTTATTCCAATGAATCCAGATACCCCACAAAACTTTTACCGACTCACGAATTGCCTCATCATCCGAAGCCCAAAAAAACCATTGCCTCAACCAATCATGGCCTAGACAAGGCACCCCATTTTCAAAATCAAGCCCAAGTCTGGATCCCCTTCAAATGTGCTTAGAGAAAATACAATGAAAAAACAAAGGCTCAAAAGTTTCCTTATCCTCTCCATATCTAGAACAGGCGAGATCTACCAGAATACCTCTCCTACGAAGATTAGTTTTAACTGGTAAAATTCTATGCAAAAATTTCCAGATGAACATGGCCCATTTGGGAGGCAAATTAAGTTTCCATAATTTTTTCCAGCACTCATTTTCAACCCTAGAATCCCTATTACTAAGGACCTTCCCCTCTGTCAGAGCAAAATAGAAACCTATCTTAACTGAGTAATTTCTATCCCTAGACACAGACCACACTACACAATCAATAGTAAGAACTTGTGGAATATGAATACTCAAGATATGAGGAACCGTGTGAGTCATTGCTCTCTAGCTTCTCTCTCAAACTAAACTTACACTAAGGACCTTCCCCTCTGTCAGAGCAAAATAGAAACCTATCTTAACTGAGTAATTTCTATCCCTAGACACAGACCACACTACACAATCAATAGTAAGAACTTGTGGAATATGAATACTCAAGATATGAGGAACCGTGTGAGCCCGAAAAAGGGACCTCACCAAAGGTTCCTCTCCAAGTTCTAGATTCTTGTTCAATAAGATGAGCCACTGTGAAAGAGCTGAAAAAACAAACCCTTCCCCGCCCTATCATCTCATTATGAATTGTAGGAATCCATTGATCTTCAAACGGATCAATGTTCCAACCATTGCCTACTACCCAACCCAATCCTTTTTTGCAGGAGATCCCTCCCCCAGAGAATATTTCTCCAAGCCCATGAGCAACTAGACTTAGGTTCAGTTTGGAGAAAGGCACTTGTCGAACAATACTTAGCCAAAAACAGTCTACTTATAAGGGATTGCGGATTTTGCAAAATTCACCAAGCCACCTTAGCCAGCAAAGCTTGATTCATCAACCCTGGATCTCTTAACCGAAGACCACCTACTGCCTTAGGTGGGCATAATTGTTTCCACCTCAACCAGTGTGTAAGTGAATAAATGAGATGTGTATATTATTTTTTATTAATTTACAAAGGGAGCCTAGCTCTCTTCTTATAGCCTGTGATGTACATTGGATGCGAGGCACCGAAAGCATAAAGCTAAAGCTAAACATAATAATAACTAAAGTATAATAATATACAATGCTAGTCGAAAGCATAAAGCTAAAGCTAAACATAACAATACTAAAGTATAATAATATACAATGCTAACATATAATAATATACTAACATCCCCCGCAAACTCAAGGAGGGAAAGCATCAACCAAGTTGAGTTTGGAAACAAGATCATTGAAGCGGCCAAGAGGATGAGCCTTAGGATGAGCCTAAGTGAATAAATGAGATGTGTATATTATTTTTTTTTAATTTACAAAGGGAGCCTAGCTCTCTTCTTATAGCCTGCGATGTACATTGGATGCGAGGCACCAAAAGCATAAAGCTAAAGCTAAACATAATAATAACTAAAGTATAATAATATACAAAGCTAGCCGAAAGCATAAAGCTAAAGCTAAACATAACAATACTAAAGTATAATAATATACAATGCTAACATATAATAATATACTAACACAGTGTATTCCTCGTTCGTTAGAGTCATGCCACAGAAAATTTGCCACAATATTCCGAATTTGGCGGATAAAATACATTGGTGCTTTGAAAACAAATAATAAATAAGACGAAATTGAAAGAATAGAATGTTTCACAAGCACACACCGTCCCGCAAAAGAAAGTAATTTACATTTCCACCCTGAAAGTTTGGCAGAAAACCTACCCAAAATATGTTGAAACAAATTACCCTTAACGCATTTGTCCTCAAGACCGTTTCCAAATACGTACTTGGTTTTTCAACAAGTTTGATTCCAAGACACTCACTAAGAAATCTTTTTTTGGCCAGAATTCATATTGGGACTAACAACGATCTTTGATTTATGCAAATTAATTCTCAGACCTGATTGATGACAAAATGCATCAAGAAACCATTTAAGCACCAAACCGTTGCAGTCCCAAATTCCAAGAAGCATACACAGTCATCCGCGAACAGAAAATGTGAAATAGAAGGTGCATTGAGGCAAATAGACAATCTTTACAAACCCCTTGGGATGCCATAGCATCTAAGCCTAATGATATGGCTTGAGTGACCAGAATAAAAAAATATGGAGATAAAGGTTTCCTTGTCTCAAACCACACCTCGATTGAAACCATTTAAACGTTTGGGAATTCACCACCACCGAAAACGAAACCGTGGAAATACATTATTTTTTTTAATATTTTTTTAATTTTTTACGAAAAATATATGCAAAAAAAAAATAAAGAATATAGTTAACTTTTTGGGTTGGATTTCTTTTATGGGAATGGCTTCTGTCCGGTCTTTAATCAAACTGGACCGTGCTGTTGCGTCCGTGGAGGCCCACCACGAGTCTCGTTTTGATAATCTGAACCGTTGAATATGTAAAACTCGTCGAGTACTATATGCCTGTAAAAAATCACGTTAATCGAATATCGATAGTTATGTGATCAAAACAGATTTTTGTCAACCGTTAATATATTCACCGTCTATTTTTTTTATACAAAATTGATTTGATCACATAGTTATCGATATCTGATTAACGTGTTTTGTTTACAGGTATATAGTACTCGACGATTTCTACATATTGAACGGTTCAGATTATCAAAACGGGACCCGTGGTGGGCCCCCACGAGCCCAACAGCACGGTCCAGTCCGATTAAGGACTGGACAGAAGCCATGCCCTTCTTTTATATTGAGATCTCATCTTGAGATAAAGTTATTATAGGTCTC